CTTGTATAAATAATATATATATTATTGACTATTTTGGAAAATTCAAATGGTTAAAAATGAAAAATATAAGTACTATAAATCTTTTGTTAGGTTTTTTACGCTTTAGACACAATGACATGTATAGGTAGTCCTAATCATCGTAACGACTTTGCATTATCAAAACTTTTGAAATAATGGTCATTTTTATACCTAATATTTTTCATTTTACTACTTGTGGCTATTATCCCAGTGAGATGAGGTTGCTGTGATGTATTAAAACCATTATACATTGTGTATGCGTGAGAGAAGGGCATTCTGGCTACTAGCTGCGTGGGTTGGGTTACTGAAACATGTTACGACCATCTAATATATTGTATATTAATTTATCAACTGCTAAAGTCAAATGCTTAATTATCATGTTAGTCATATTCATCAAATCTAATGTAACGGCTTGTGGCTAACAAAAATGGTTTAATCTCATTTTACAGTTTCACCAAGTACCATACGAACAACTTTCAGTTATAATTTTAGGACTTGCTTCTAATTTATATGTTCATATAAATATGTATAAATTCGTTATATTAAACAAATTGTAAAAGCTTTTATATAAAATTAGTGAAACCTTCATATCAATGATAAAGTTGGGATTTTTCTGTTTATAGAATTAAAAGCCCATATTATAAAAGGAAAATTGAATATTATTTTTATAACTTTTGTAAGCATGCTGTTTGTTATTGTAATTTTTATATAATCGAAATTTCAGGGAATGTGAAATTTGAATACCTTATTGAAAGTAACGACGATTGCTAATATCTGCATGTGCAACTTTGGTGGCGCTACTCTCCAGAGATGTCGTACATGTCGCCTGACGTTGGCGTGTATGTTGTGCCTCAATGAACCAGGTTGCTGGGTGTTTAAGAAAGTTCTGTAATCTGTAGATGTAAACGTGGGTTTACATTCGAAGCTATTAATCAAAATTGCTGGTATGTTGTGCAACTATTTTTTGTGTTATTCAATGTTGATATAGTCTCAGAATATTTCCTTAACTTAAATCATGTCACATTTATTTTAAAATATATGGTTATGTAAGTGTAATAATAGTAATAGCAACCAACTTCTATCTTAATCGGCTGTTTTTGGTGCGGCTAGGTCCATGTTATTCATAGACAGGGGTGGTACTAACACTACCGCTGTGAAGGAGATGGTTAGAAGTTGCTTCTACTTTCCTCGGGCTCAAGTACAACGCCTTTACTTTAGCATACAAGTATACCGGACTGACGTTAGTCGTCCATATTTGTTGCTATGACTTAGGTTAGAATAGGTATATCATCAGTATGTGGAATTTCATGTTCACTAATGTTATGTTGTTTGGTACCAGGAACTTTATTAACGGTCAAGAATTGAAAGTAAGACTAACTAAGTTGATCATAGGTTATTCGCTTAAGTTAGACAACTATTTGTTAATAACAATTTAATTTTGAACTTCGTTCTTCCATTTCATTACCTCCATGTTTGCGCTTATTTAATTAAGTTATAAAGTAATAAATACATCCATCTTGCAAGTGTGTGTGTGTGTATGAGCCAGTTGTATGTTTCCTGCTTTCTCTGGCTTTGGTAAAGATAGGTACAACTTGCAAAGTAATGTAACATGCTTCATCGTATATTTTTTGCACACACAGCCTGATTGTTGTTTTCGTTTGGTTTGGTATTTAAATGGAGTAACTCATTTTTGTTTAGCAAATATTTGAATATATTGTTAAAAATTCATGTTTATCTGTTGTCAAAGTGATGTTTGTTTATTATTTGAATTTAGTTGCCTAATTCTACATTATTTTTTGTTTTTGTTACTTTATTATATTTTTGGTTTAATGTAATTGCTAATTTTTCTTTTGTAGGCTGATAATTTATGGTTTCTTTTTGAAATGTAAGAAAAATGAAGTTGAAGTAAAGGAACTAGCGTACAAAGATGTAATACATACAAGCAAGCAAGCTTTATAAACATACAATCACCCTTTTTTTATTCATGTTTTTACTGCTTCCTGTTCCAATGAAAAAGGAGTGACCAAGCCTGTCCCAGTTGTGTCTTTAACCCATTCATTAAGGCTGTGGCTTGTATTTTCTAGTGCTCCCACCCCCTCACGCTGCAACTGGGACAAATGTTTCCCATCGTGGACATGCTGTTTACACTTTCCTTTGCTGGGTCCAGGTTCATCATCTTGACTATCATAACTAGATGTCTCATTGCCTTTTCATCATCACTCATTTGAACACCACTTGACTAACTTTCACTATCTTCTGAGCTATCTGAGTCAAGTGCATCAAATATATTTGCATAGTAATTAGGGTTACTACTCACTGCTCTAGCCATGTGGGCATGGTTGACATGCAGTTGTCATACATTCTGCTTAGGCATCTTGTTCGTTACTGAAGGGCTAATTGGAAAACATTGAGGTAAACCATATGTCAACATTAGGTGGTATGCCAATGAGTACTTTCCAACTCATTTTACTCCCATATATTATCCGTGGCACTTTTGAATGACATTGGGAAACATTTGTCCCAGTTGCAGTGGGAGGGGGGTGGAAGCACTGAGAAATATACATCCCAGCTGCAGTGAAAGAGCTAACTCTGTTAACATGGGTTTGGTCATTTTGAGCAACCTATAATTTTTAATATGGTACATCTATCTCTCTGAAATTTGGCAGTCTTTTAGTAAACATTAAAAGTCTTTTGTACACAAAAAATTGAGTTTTGTAATTAAGTATTTTTACTAAAGATTTGTTCATGAATAGATGGAGCAGAGGCAAATTAAGTGTGTCTTGGGCCCCATGCACAGCAAATGTTATGCCTCCCCCCCCAAATCACGAATCCAACATTCAAAGAAAAATTCAAACAATCGAAAGAGTTACATATTTTTATTATTTATTTTATCTAAACGAAACATTAATACTACATTAAAAGAAAATTTGAAATCTCATCACAACTGTCTTTATTTTATTTTTGGAGGGAAAATACTGAAGAAATTGATGTCGCACATTTACTCTGGGTTATATATACTCAATATGGGCAGGTGCAAAAGGGCTAAAAAAGGACAAATAATTAAGTGATGAATTATTTCATGCATATCTAGTACTATTTTCTTATGCATAATCAGTAGTCTACTGTCCGAGTCAGCTGTAATATGGTGATTGGTGTCAATGCTTCCATTTCCACTTTTTTAAGGATGTGGAGGGGTAAACTGTAAACACTTAAAGAAAAGTTGTTTTCCAAACTGTAACGTATTAAAATCATTTGGTTCATGACATTTTCGTTGACATTTGAAAAATATATGATTGGATGTTTTCAATACGCATCAGTGAATTGCTATAAACATTGAAAACTTTTTATTTTTTTACTATGACAAATTTAAGTGACTAATGACTTTTACAACTGTTAACAACCAAAGACAGTCTAAGTTTTAAATTAATGTAAAATACAGAATACTTTTCTTCATTGCAAGGGTGTGCTTGATTTGTATAGACAACCCAAATTGTAATTTATCCATGAAATATTTAACATTTTGGAATATCTATAATAATTAAAGTAACATTGCAACTGCACTAGCTTACAAAAGTGTATTAGCATAGCATTAAAAACTTGTTTAGTACATTGATATTTTGTCATCTTTATTAAAAATGTATCATATTTCAATGGAAAGAATTAAGCTCTAACAATTTAAGGAAATTTTGGTACCTCTTAAGGAACCTTAAATGTGTCTCTTTCATAATGCTGCCATCACGGACCTCTTTCTGGTTTGAACCCATGCGCATGTGTTTGGCATACTACTTAGTCCGACTCTGATATGGAATCATTGTTGCTTGAGTAAGGAAGCACATTATGCTAATATAATAATAAGTTTGAAAACAATGATTTATAAGCAGAACACATACTAGTTGATTAGTCTTGAGTGCAAGGTGATGTATGTTAAGATTAAAAATACTTTTTTGTGTATCCTAGAGTTTTCAAATTTCATTTGCATGACCTCTAAAACCTCTTAAAGGAAAATCAAATTTTTTTCAGTAAAACTTTTATATTTTATGTGTTTTCTAAACCCTAATTCTATACGGACTCTGTCAGTTTGACTGACCTTGTATCCACCGTAAAAAATATGAAATAAATCTAAGTTACTTTTTTTTCTTTCTAGAATAACTTCAGGTTGTAACAGAAAAATTAGTTATTTATCCTTAGCAGTATAAGGCTTATAACAGTACTATTACTGTATTGAATGATTACACAAGAGTTAGTCACTAGCATATCTTGTGGAGTAATGTTTTATGTATTTTTCATTAGCTAACTTAAGTTTTTAGTTTTTACATTTTAGTTACTTTTATAGCAATAAATAAAAAAAACAAGAAATTTAGCAATTTTTTAGCCTCTTGTTTTCTGCTGTTGGTCTGCCAATGAAATTTAATTCTATTTTTTTTGTAATGATGGTACTAGTACATTAAATTTTATTTATTTAAAGTAGGCACTTAATAACAAAATAGACATGTAGAAAGCAAACAATGTACTATAGCTATTATAACTTAACTGGCTTTCTAACTAAGGCATATGTAGCTTAACCCTTTCGAGAC